GTCAATGCAAAACACCACGGAACGAGATTAGTTGATTCTGACACCTACAACAAACGGCAGCTGTGAACCAAAACCACAAATGTCTCCAACACCTTCAGCACACGTTCATGAATAACATCAGCATGATCTCACCTCAGCTGAACCGCACCGGGAACAACTGCTGAAGAAGCTCAGTGATGGTCTGTGTCTCAGTTATCTCTTATAATTACACAAGAACTGTAAAAGCACTTCAGTTCCCAGAATGCATTGTGGTATGAAATGTGCATTGCATGTATTCACTATTTGCTGGATTATTTCCGAAAATTAATTATAATTCTACATTATAAAGTACAATATTGCAATTGTAAGTTATGATCAGAATTAAGAGTCAATCATAATCCAAAACTTGTTTTCTTAAAAGTGCAAAATGAAATAAAATTAAAGTAAATGTAATCACCAAAACTGTGCCCTCAAACGAAACAGATGTTTGAACTATTATCCCACGATGCAGCACAAAACAGTCATTGTTGCATAGTATTTTGTTAGTATTATGAAATGACTCTTACATTTTGTAAAATCATAGTATTCTACAGCGAGTCATTCTGTAGCCTAATGCGCGTTTATGAATTATAAATGAAGTTATGAAGTCCTGACAGGATGTGACTGTATCAGCTCGAGCCCGGACTCTCTTTCACAGCAGACTGCTATTAAACACTTTGATTCAGATCGTATTTTCTGTTGTATTATATGATATCTGAAGCTGTTATTCTCAATCGCACATATGGCAGCATGAATAATGGATTCATAAGCTACTCAATGAAGTTACGGGAATATAACGGTACAGTCGAGCATATACAAACATCAGAATAGACTCAATCAATGATTTATGCATTACCAAACATAACACAAATCACAATTCAACAATTCTGATGCAGCCTGGTTGAGAATAACGGTGCAGAATCAACAAGTCCAAACTTGCGATCATGTTGTTAAAATGTCGCTATCTGTCATTATTAATAGCGTATCAGCTTTTACCGCGTCTCATCGGTGAAAAATGATATTTTATCGGATAAAACTAGCCGATTCTTGACGTTAAAACAACTAGAAGCAGAAGCGGAGAAGTGAAAGCGGACTTACCCTGAGTGTAGACGAGGGCGCAGAAGTTGCAGGAGAGAAGCAAAATGATTATCTCACAACACACGTACATCTTATTGAAATCCTAAAGTGCATGGTGGACTCAGACGCAAACGAGACTCGAGCTCCATGAGAGCATCTGTGCTAGCGGGAGCGCAGGAGAGCACAGGCCGCTCAGGAGACGCGGAGCGCGGCGTGGAGCTCGGAGCATGTGCGCGGAGCTGGAGCTGGAGCTGGAGGAGCTGGAGGAGGAGGAGGGCTGGGGAACTAACGGAGCCATGAGAAAACACCGCACTTATACCGTTATGTGCCCGAGGGGTGGGAGAGGGGGACGGACACACGGGCAGGAGAGAGAGAAAACAAGAAAAACAGCCTTACAAAACTTCAACAACAAAAGAAAAAAGATCAGACTTCAGACACAGCCATAACACAACAACAGTTAGAAAAAACAACAACAACAACATTAGCTTAGACAGAAAAAATAAATACAAATAGACAAGACTGAGAGATTGGAGATTGCAGTCGATCAAAATTATTTTTGGGAATTATGGAATAATTCAGATTAATCCAAAGAAAACAAACACATTCCCATCCATGACCCAAACATCTGGACTGAACATTTTGGGAAATCCTATTCACAATCCGAACCAACCCTTACCCAAAAACATCTGACCTCCCAATTACATAACCTAGAGTTCACTCCAAAACCATTTAGACAAGCCCATAGCTTTAAATGAACTAAGAGGCAATTAAATTTAAAGTCCTGTGGCTTGGATGGAATATCTAATGAGATGCTGAAACCTAGCAGCCCCAAATTAAAAAATGCTATGCTGAAATTATCTAATTTCTTATTAAAATCAGGACACTTTCCTGAAATCTGGACTGAAAATCTGATAAGTCTGACTTTTAAACAAGGTGAGAAGTACGACCCAAACAATTAGAGGGGCATCACGGTGACCTCGGGAATCTATTCTGCTCTATTATTAATGACAGATTAATTCAGTTCATTCAAGAACACAAGATTCTAAACAACTGTCACACTGGTTTAATGCCTAAACAGAGAGCATCAGATCACATCCATACACGCCACACACTCATACAAAAATACCTTCAGCAGACAAAACAAGACAAATATTTGGCTGCTTCGTTGATTTCAAAAAAAGCCTTCGATTAGGTACGGCATAATGGACTTTCCTAAAACTCATCCAAAGTGGAATAGGAGGACATCATAAAGGACATATATAATGGGATCAAATGCGGTGTCAAAATCAATGACAAAAGGACTGATTATTTCAAATGCCTCCTGTGTGTCGCTCATGAAGAGGGACTGCACCAAAGCCTCTCCATTCTGGAGAAGTACAGTAGCGATTGGGCCTTACCAATAAACATGGAGGACGAGCTGCACATAAACACATTAGAGACACAAGTTTCACTGTAATTCCAGCAAGTGAGCAACATAGAGAAACTCTCGGATATTTTGGGAGACAGAAAAGTGTATCCACCCGGCAGTGCAGTACACCTCCTGACATCATATGAGGGACGAAGGCTGAACTGCTCTCTGTATTCATTTACATTTTAACATATATGTATAATGATGACATGTATCCTCAGCCACCGCACATGAAAGTCACCGCAACCTTCATTACCCTAATGAGCCTAAACGAGCCAATCACAGAGCAGGACTGACACACAGATCACAAGAAACAGTCTGTTACATTGTACAAAACAATCATAGATGAACACTGCTACAATATGACAGTTACATTAATACTGAAGTCCTCCAAGATCATGATGATAACTGAGATGATGCAGTCAGGTTTGTTTGAATGAAAGTGTGATTGGAAAGTAGTGCCAGTTTAGTTGCGGACTGATATACAGCATTAAGTGTGTTGATGACGGCAAATATTGGGAAATATCCACAGATCTATATCCCATCTGACCGCTCGGTTTGTTAAAGTTGCTCCAAATTTTGTGGCATTCAAAAATGTAAAATGCTGCTTGTGGCTGTATTTAATGATGATAATGTCTGTTTGTTACATGATGAGGTTTAATAAAATAATAATAATAATAATACAAATCTTAAAGGCATAGTTCAGCCAAAAATGAAAATGACCCCATGATTTACTCAGCCTCGAGTCATCCTAGGTGTGTATGACTTTCTTCTTTCAGACGAATCCAATCAGAGTTACATTAAAAAAAATGTCCTGGCTCTTCCAAGCTTTATAATGGCAGTGAATGGGTGTTGAGATTTTGAAGCCCAATAAAGTGCATCCATCCATCATTAAAAGTGCTCCACACGGCTCCGGGGGTGAATAAAGGCCTTCTGAAGCAAATCGATGCGTTTGTGTAAGAAAAATATCCATATTTACAACTCTATAACCCAGAGAGACGTCCAGCGGATGATGTAGGACGCAGGCGAAGCATGAGCTCATTTAAAGTAGTAACAACAAGAACTATTTTGGCAGGAAATCTGTCTACAGTGGTCAATTATTGCAAGAGATACAAAGTGTTAAGAAAAGTTACGGCTGGGATTGAAGTAATGCCTTGTAATTGTTTAATTGGAGCGTAATAAAAACGAAACCAAACTAAACTAAAATACATAAAAAATAAAATGATAAAATACTGAGAGTTTGACTTTTGTTACAGTGAATAATGAGAAATGTACATTTCAAAAGCTAAAAAGACCCATGATAAAAAGTGAAGCCTGGATATGTGCAATGAATTCATCTTTAAAGCTGTGACCTCTTAAAGTCAGTTCACATGATTTTTTCCACAACACTCCATTACGAGGGGAAAACAGACGTGATGTTGGTGAATAATGTGTGTTGGCGGGTGACGTAACGCTGTGCCAGTCTGAGGGTGGCACACCTCACCAGACTCATGCCAGCTCCAGCTCCAGCCGGAAGCATTCCCATTCCCACTGACGGCAGATCAGCAGACACAACTCTCACATCCGGGTTCACCGCAGGGCAGTCTTTGTGATATGAAAATAATAGCCACTTTAAGATCAAAACTGGAAAAAAATGTTTTATTCAACAGACAGACACTGCTTCAATTTATTTGCTTTAAAAAATCTATAAAAAGGTGATTTGATGGTGATCTGATCTCTTCATCAGATTGATTACGTGGTCTGATATCAGTAAAACGGATGCAGTATCCAGAAACGAAAATAAACAATTGCATCATTCATTTGAACAGTTAAATGACATATTTATCCATACTCATTTTTGAACGATGTCCGGTCGCTGTATAAATAAAACATTGAAATTAAATTAAATACAAACAGAATAAGAAACAAATAAATGACGTGATCAAAAAAGACTTTTCTTTGGAAAATACAAAAAATACAATATGAAAAGTACAGTGCATACAAATGACGGCACAGTCTCCGCAGTCCAACACTGGGAATCGGCCAATACACTTTACATTCTAGAGCCATGGCTTTGGTTGTGTTAAAGTTCATGTGGCCACAGCCTGAGCTCGATGGGTCCTCCGTCAGACGCCGAGGGCTTCAGGATCCGTGGAACCATCTTCTGTGGCGATCCTGTGCCTTGTGGAGCTCCTGGAGGGTTTGATGGTCGTGGCTGGTCTCGATGCACAGCACGATGAAGCGGTTGGAGCAGCTGCGTGTTTGCTGGTTCAGTAAGCCGCTGTAGAGGAACGACGCTTGACCGGTGATGGCCACGTCACCCGCTCTCCACGACTCACAGTTCAGAGCGGACAGACGCTTGCCTCTCTCTGAAGAGCCGTGCCACACCGCCTTCTGAGGCCTGAAACACACACACACACACACACACACACACATGAGCCGAGACATTTACAGCACAATGTTACACAAATAAATGCTGTTCTTCTGAACTTTCTGTTCATCTGTGAATCCTGAAAAATAAAATGCATCACAGTTTCCACAAAAATATTGTGCAGCACAACTGTTTTCAACATTGATAATAATCAGAAATGTTTGTTGAGCAGCAAATCAGCATATTAGAATGATTTCTGAAGATCATGTGACACTGAAGACTGGATGCTGAAAATACAGCTGCGCATCACAGAAATAAATTACAGTTTAACAGATATTCACATAGAAAACAGCTGTTTTACACTGTAATAATATTTCACTGTTTTTACTGTATTTTTGATCAAATAAATGCAGCCTTTGGTGAACAGAAGAGAATATGCAAAATAAACATTTATCCGACATTTATAATGTATAGAAAGACTGAAAATTCTGAATGTGTGCCAATTTTTGTCTAATAAAATGCTCTCTCGAACACTGATTCTCAACCTTTTTGGCTCCTATTGTCCAAGAAATTACTCAAAGACCCCTGAAATATAATTCTGATATGATCTTACAATGATTAAGCAAAACTAGAAATGTCAGTAAATATAACATTAAATAAACTCAATTAATTAATCATCATTCCAGACGTTTCAAGAACTGAATTTTCTTCAATTAACGCAACAGTTGCTCAGGGAACAAATTAAAGTTGGAAAGATGGAATTCAGTTTATAGCTAGTTAAATAAAAAAAACTATATTTATTTAAAATCAAATTAAAATTATTTCAATTTAATTTAAATAATAATTCAATCAAAAAATATAAGTAATTTGAAGTTTGCTGAGGATCTAGAGTGAGAACGTTCCTTCTCCTAAAACCATCGGCCTCTAGAAACAGCTAAATGTTTTTCACTTGTCATATTGTGACAAACCAAAGGCTACTGGTTACTTAAAAACAAGCATACAATACTGATGAATAAATCAGACTAGTTGATGATCCATAACTGTACACGCTGTCACACATCTGATCATCGTTTGTAAAACATTTACAAAACTGGACATTTTAAACGTTCAGAGAAAGATATGTTTTCACAACTTGCTAGCAAGACGTTCCTAGAGCAAATGTTTGTGAGCTCTGGAGTACAGACAGCAGTGGTGTTTGGGAACGGCTTTGTGACACACCAGCTGCTCTTCTGTTCATACAGAAACTCTCCTGAAACGCCAAAAACATCCATGAACTACACAAACAAGCCTAAAACGGCTACTAGCCGACCACAATTACTGCTCCACTGTCACGGCCTCATGCCAGGATATATTTACCGGCCTGGAGTATAAATACACATAAACACAGAACCAAAAATAAAGCCATGGGTGGAGAAATATGAGAGCCAGAGGAGCAGCCAGTGTCGTCTGCACTGCGGTCAGGCCGTCCTCGCTTACACTGAACTACTCCAGATCATCACTAGAGTTTGAGTAATTACTGAGGGGGAAGGACAGGACTGAACACAGATCGCTTGCTTGAAATGTGCATGAAAGAATGACACAAAGCTGATCGGAGCAGAAGCTGTAGAAGAGTTCCTCTAATCTTCAGAGCAGCTGTGAGTGTGTGCTGATGCAGTACTGACCAGAAGGGGTCGCTCATCACGTCTCGGCCGTCGAAGGAGTACAGCGGGACGCCGGGGGGGAGGAGGGGGCTGGAGAAGATGCTGTCCCAGTTCTTGAACAGGAGCTCACCCTGCAGACACACAGCACACATCAGACACGCTTCTCTCGTCACAGCACATACTGATACAGGAGTTTAGACTCTTAAAGGGACAGTTAACTCTGTCGGCATTCTGAACCCACACAACTTTCCTTCTCTCATATAACTGACGCTTTAAAGCTTTGAAAGACACAATTAAAGTGTGACTGCATAGCTTTGTGTGCAGAAGTGTTCAATAGTTTGGGGTTGGTAATATTTTTTAATGATTCTGAAAGAAGTCTCTTCTGCTCACCAAGGCTGCATTTATTGGATCAAAAATACAATTGTGATTCAAAAGAGCTGTTTTCTATGTGAATCTCTGTTAAACTGTAATGTATTTCTGTGATGCGCAGCTGTATTTTCAGCATCATTACTCCAGTCTTCAGTGTCACATGATCTTCAGAAATCATTCTAATATGCTGATTTGCTGCTCAAGAAACATTTATGATTATTATCAATGTTGAAAACAATTTTTGTGGAAACTGTGATACATTTTGTCAAGATTCTTTAATGAGAACAGAAAGTTCAAAAGAACAGCATTTATTTGAAACAGAAATCTTTTGTGACATTATAAATGTCTTTACTTTCACTTTTGATCCATTTAATGCATCCTTGATGAATAAAAGTATGAATTTCTTATTATCTTTTGAACAGTAGTGTTATTTGTTATTGACTAAAATCTTCCTTTGCTCTTCTTGAGCTCATGACACAAGCATTGATAATCAGCAAATCAATTCTTTCATGTTTTCAGTGAACCATTTGATCTGTTGCACAAAACAATGATTTGTTCATACATCGAAACGATCCAGTTCTCGACTCAATGATCCAGTCGAAGCAGAATGTCCAGCTCACGAGAGGAGAACGTTATCAGTAAATCACAACCGAAGTTTGGTTTGGAACGGCATGAGGGAGAGTAAAGGGTTCATTATTTTGGGTGAACTATCCCTTTAAGACCTATTCACACCAAGAACAAAACAAAAAAGTCTATTCACACAACAGCCAAATGAAAATGCATTGACCAGTACTCACTAGAGTTGAGCACAGGCCTTAAATCTTTACAAAGAAGCTTCACAGCGCTCGTGAGAGATCATGAATTATTAGTAAGAATCACAGAAAGCCGCTTTACCCTCAGGTTGACGATCGGTGAGTTTGTTCGGTACATGGGCTGCACGGTGTCAATCAGGTCCTGTAGGTGGTGTGAGAGGAAGGCCTTGTAGTCGTCTCTGATGCCCATGGCTTGAGCTTGAGTCCTGCACAGTTTATTAACCGAGTGGATGGAGCCCAGGTTTCCCGTCAGCGGCGTGTTGAGAGCCACCAACCTCAGCTGAGACACAGAGACACGCGTAAGACAACCCTAACCCATTTATCCTCATCTGGACTGAAGAGCAGCGTCACATTAGCTGAGAAAAGCTCTCGTCTAGTGTCAGAAGCCTCTTTTAAACGAAGCAGCTTTCTGGGAACTGAACCTAGGAAATCTTTCCCCCTCACGCAGCATTCCCAGTCATGTGGATTCCTACTGAAATGACTTGACAAACAACAGTAAATGTGATTGTAACTTAACATGACAATCCACAAAAATGCTACAAATGTGTAGTATATAGAGGGAAGCACCGGTATGAAATATACACTGCAATATCGGCCATCATCCTGTCAATCAAAAGTGGGCGTGTCAAACTGCAACTCGAGTGTGAAGAAAATGCCTCTCGTGTTGAATATACACAATAATAACGCATTAACACAATCTCACTAAATATATACTGTATAGCGTTGTTAACACGGGTTCTATTTAACCCTATAAATGACCCGTTATTCATGCAAGGGTTGCCAGATCTGCAGTTTTTCCATTATTTGTAGTGCGTCTGTCATCCAAAAACTGCAAAGAGCCTTGTGCTTTGTTACTTCTGAAAAGAAACAAAGTCTCAACTCTCAAATAATGCCCATCAATATTAGCCATCAAACAATAAATGCTGCTTTGATGCTCCTAAATGTGGCGTGACAGATCAAGTGCTGTAGCGCTTCAGTCTCGTCCGCTTTGATAGTTATAGCACAAAACAAACACGTGTTGAAAGATACAGTACAGCTTCCTGAGATGTCTCATGTAACTGATCAATCAGTGTTTCAACCGAAAGAAAGATGTCAAATAAAACAGCTTGTGATTAATATGTGACTTTATGTTGCATTTACCTCAGGAAATTTATCTCTGCTCACAGCTAGAGCTTAATTACTGTAAATTATATAAGTATGTTTGAATAAATCTCTCATGAAGACAAGTTTTTATGAAAACTACCTCATGTGCAGTTGAGTTGCATACAAACATTTCAGTTTTTGTTTGCGTGTGATTATTAGATCTGAACATGAATAATTTGGGCTCTGTTATTAATTTAACCTCTAATACTGAGAGGGTTCCCTGAATAGTTTGCAGCATTAGTTAGGAGAGATTTTTTTTTCTTTAGAAGACCAAGCTATCGTCATGGGCAGATGTCATTCTGAGTAATCCTATCTGTGGAGGAATTGAGTATAAGTGGCTCTCTAATATATCAACGCTTCAGTCTGAAACACACAAACACACTGAGCACAGACAGACACAGAAGTAGAGATTCTGTGGCTTGAGTGTGTGTTTGCCGTCGTCTCTCTTCAGAAACCCAGACCGGCTGGACGATCTTCACCAACAGCAGATGGACAGCACCATAATTTAGTCTAAAACGGGAGCTCTGGACGCCGCAGGGACGCTTTTAGAGGCCTGATGATCTTCAGACCAATGTTTTTCAGAACCAAACCATGACAAATCTCACATTCGTCTCTGTGGACGACAGCCTGGGAATGTTTGTGAGGTGAGTCGGACTGAGAGCGTGTTCAGCGCGCTGCATTATGGGACTGATACGCTGTAAAACCGCAGGATGTGAGACGAGCGTTTTTCTGGGTTTTACCGCTGCTGGGGAGAAGATTCCAGCAGCAGGAGCCAAACACTCAACACATGAATAAACACACACAGCTGACTCCTGACATGAGCACACACACACACACACTCACTCACTCACTCA